GGTGGGGAGAAGGTGGGAGAAATGACCCAAACATTGTATGCACATATGAATAATAGAAATAAAAAAATCTTAGTTAACCATGGTTACTTTAAGTTTTGTCATTACAGTCCTGATCCTTCAAAACACTCACGGGCAAGCCCATAGTGCTTATCCATCACAGAATGGACATTCTTAGGTATCAGGGTTGTTTTGTATTTCCCTTGTAAAACTTTGCAACTGTTATCTATTAACACTTCACAGCAATTTGAAGGTGTCAGTACATCCACTATGGGAAAAACAATTTGATTAATTAAGCCCAGCCTAAGAGCCACTCTTTTTATAAATCTCTTTGTTCCTTAATTTGGCCAAAAAGGTCATATTGGCCTTAACTTCTGATCTGTGTGGGTCTCCCTCCTTTGTGGGACAAAATCTGACTTTCTGGACTTTACCAGGGAGCATTCTGGCACCAAGGGACAGAACTGCCAAATTGGCAATATCTTCGGAGACTATTCAAAGAACAGTCTAAGAGGACACAACCCCTGAGTGGTCAGCATCCCCCAGCTTCTCAGAGGAACAAGTGGTATTCAGCCACCCAAGACAGTTCAAAAGAACTGCACCAATGAGGGGAGTTCTCCAGATCCAGATGGAGTCAATTGTGCCAGACCTCTAAGCTGAGAGATTTAAAGAAGGTGGCTCTTGCACATGTGCTTTAATATTTAAGCCTTCTAGACTTTCAGCAAAAGACAAATTCATGTCTTTGGCCAAGGTCTTCTATTTAAACAAAGACAATATAACTTTCAATGGTATCTAACTTCTTCTTAGGGAGGCAGTCAGACTTTTTTCTGTATAGAACTGACTCATTGATGTTTACTCTCTAACTAGACTGACACCTGGTCCCTGGTACATCTAGCCTCTAATGTTGTCAGCCTTTAACTATAGGACAAAATACTGAGCCATCTAAGAATTAAAAATTGCTACCGGTATAAACACCTATAGATAAAGTAACCATAAGACTCCCTGTCACTTTTCAAAATTACTTTGTCCTTCCTGCCACACCTGGCAGGGCCCCTTCTGATACTCCTATCAGTGTTAAATGTTCAGGTCATAGCTTCTAAATCAGATTCATCCTTTCCAGAATAAAAGCCTTTAGGACCCCAACCATGAGGCAACAAGTCTATTGAGCTCTGCAAATGAATGAGATCTCCATGAGCAACCCAGATCTCCATGAGAAACCCTAACTGTGCTGGACAACAATTCAGACACCTTGTGTCCAAATGAGCCCCAAGGGAAAAAATAAGAGAGACAATTTCTCTTTATAGGTAGGGTCTGCTGCCCCTTGTCAGCTCGAAGAAGATACCGAAGATGGATTGCCCCTTTCAACAACCCCCAAAACAGAATATTTTGGAATATTGTCTCTCAGGGGGAATTTGAGGCAGGCTGGAAGTAGGAAAAGTTTGGGGCTGATGTAGGTTGCCTAGGGATGGACCAGACCACCCTCACCTGGCTGGAAACTGCCCGTGCCCCTTCCCACTCATTCATTATTGGGTGGGAACCTCCTGGGCCTTCCTTCCCATCTGGTAGAATAGGTTTTAAAGGGAACTGAAAAAATAAAATCTCACTCAGCCCACCGTGCCCTCTTTTTTCTGCTTCGCTTCCTTCACCTGGCAGAATAGGCGACCCCTTCACTCAATAAAGCTGCCCTACCTCACCCCATCCACATGTTCTGCTTGTATTTTTCCATTTGTAGCACAAAAACCAGGATCTTCTGATTGCAGACTATATGGAGCACTGTTAACAGACTGACTATTTACAAGTTTAAAATGTCATGTGTTCTTTCTTATATGTGAATGCCAAGAGACTTGATCTGAATACATAATAGAGAATACCCGAGTATTGAAAGTTGGGATGAGGCAATAGAGGATGGCAGGGTAATAGCTACCTGATAGTGGGTAGATAGAAGTGGTAAATTCTAATGTTACAAATAGCTAAAAGAGGTGCTCAAAGGCTGCTTGCCCAAAGCAAGTGTTAAGTACCCTGATGTGATCATTGCATACTGTATACATGTAAATTCACACATCAATAATTTTTGAAAAAGTCTATCTCAAGCATTAATCCTTTTGTGTAAGGTAGACTGAACGTTACTTGAGACCATGTTCATCCTTAGCTCTTTGCCTTTCCCTGTCCTGATTCACTGCCTCCCTTAGAGATTTTGCTAAAGTGTCCTTCCTCAAGAAATCACAGGCAATCTCATCTATGTTTCTGCCTCTTATTTCTTGGAAATATATAATATAAAGCATGAGACCAAAAGTACAAGTGTTCATCAGTGCAAGATTTATTCCAATTTAGTTTACTAGCCTTTTGGAGAATTATCAAATAATGTCAAATTTTCAATTAGACAACTAGTAATGAAATTTGAGTCAATTGGAATGGCAAAACCTGTTTCAGACTATGTTGGCCAAGAGTTATTTGCACAACCCGAATTTGCCAAGATAGGAAACAGGTGTAATGTATACACAGGTCTCAGCTTCTCTCTTTGGCCACCCCTTTCTTCCAGCAGCTGAAATAGACACTTCATCCTGCTCTGAGAAACAAAAATAAGTGCCTACTTCATCACTGTAAGATGAACATTTCTATTTTTTTTCAGTTTTCATGAAGGTTTATTACAAAGCACCAACAATGCTTTTATGAACATTTCATTTTTGCAATACATTAATAATTTGTCAGTGAAAAATGATGTTTAATACATTTATGTACAATTTACAAATTTCTACTGATAACTTTTATTGAGAGAAATTATCTTTTTTTTTCCATTGAACCAAAGTTCTTTGCAGATTTTATTTTATTTTTCCTTTATTTTTGTGAAGGGTAGTGATACATTGTGGCATTTATGCAGGTTCATACAATGTATCAAATATATCTTACATTAATTCATCATCAACCAATCTTCATCCCCCACCCCCAGATTCCTGAAATAATTTCAACAGGTGGTATTATTTGTGCATTTACCTAAATGTGTACACATTTCATTGCACCTAAGAAAATTATATATATGAAGCTCTATTATTCTGAAAGCACTTTTATCCAAACTGATATTTAAATGTTTTTGTAATTCTAAAATTATCATTGTAGGTCATTTTCATGTCTATGACTTTATAGACATTATATTAGAACTATGTTTAATAGAAAAATGAAAACTATAATATGTTCTCAAAGAAATTTCTATTAACGCTAATTAATACAAAAATTATTAGAAAAAGAATGATTAATGGCTGTGATTAATACAAAAATTATTAGAAAAAGAATGAGAAATCATCCTTGCAAGTAGTTTCACATTCATCAAAACAAAATTATGATACTGATCTATAGATAAATAAATTTTCTTAGCGATCTTCAACAGGAAATATAATTTACCCCATGAAATGCACTTAAGACAAAAGGAAACAAAAGACTTTCAGTTTTCCAATAAAACGTCAATTTCCTTTGGCAGCCACATTTATACATGTAAATTAAATGTAATATCTATTGTGCATATTTTATATGAGAAAGCACTTTCCACATAGATCCTTACATTTTCTGGCAAATGAGAAATGATTCTGAACATTAGTACACCACAAAACTATTTAACACCAAAATGAAAGGAGTTATATATCACTAGAGAGAAGAGTTTATGTTCAAAGAGTATTTCTTAGTGCTATTCTCCCCTGTGGTTAAATGCCATCAAGGGAGCTTTGTGTGTATTTATGGTCTTGCCAGACATCAGAATTTTCTTCTTTGCCAGTTAATACCAAAACCTAAAAGGTCTAGTTGCATGACCAGTGTTCTGAAGGCTGATCAAAAAGGGCTAAAGTTATGACTAGTTCCAGCCCTGGAGCTACTGTAATGTTGCCTATGACATCAGCTGGGACCCTGGGAGATTCTATCCTCAAGCATCACAAATGGATGTGAAGGCATCAACATATGAATCTAAGAGGGTGAGGACACAAAAATTCAGTCCATAACAGATTAATGTTCTGCTATGTAAACTTAACTTTGTACCATGGGGACTTTTCATGTTCTTGCAAAACTATCATAAACATATTCTGACTTTTATATCCAATAACCTTAAAAAGAGAATATATTCCAATTTATTTAGACATTTTAACTCCCTATTGTTCAACATGTAATTAATTTATAATATATTTACCAATATATGTACTAATACATTGAAAAATTAAAGACCAAAGGTTTTTCTCCCTAAGGGGTTAGAAACCCCTTAAAAGTGACAAATCAAATTATAATCTCCCATTTTAAGATCCAGAGGCAGATGTTGTGCTTTATGGAATTTCAGACATGATATTAAAGGTAAAGTTTTAAGAATATATGAGTTTGCACACTGGCTACATGAGCAAAGTTGAGAAGAATAGTTTAAAAGTATGAAAGAACTGCACATCCTCCTTAGTGTATTTATTTAGGATTCTAAGAATGTCAGTGAATGTGCCAGAGCCTGGACAGGAAGAAAAGGCACATGCCAACTACTAATTGAAAGATAAGTTAATAAAGGGATATTCATAAAAGCATAGGTAGGGCTTAAAGTAACCCTCAAGCCTAATCACAGTAGCACTGCTGTAATAGTAACAGTGGGGAGCTCTTGCTATTCCTGAATGGACAATGTGAAGAAGCATTCCTACAACCCAGAGAGAAACTACAGAGATTAGAGTGTGGCATGGAGAGGAAGAGTATGCTGTCCTTAGGGTTTACAGGTATGGAGCATGAAGTCCTTAGGGTTTATAAGTGTGTTTACAGAGTCTCCAGTTAAGTACTTCCATTTGTTTATCATTGGCCATATCAGAGGTGTGCTTCTGGGGATGAATTCATTATTCTGCTGTTACAGAGACAATTCTCTTCTTCTCTTCTTCCTAATGAATTTGGGATAATGGATCTCATTACTTCCCCTCTTTCCCATGTTACTCAGAAGTCCATGCACTAAACATTTTAATGGAGGTCTTTGGTTGCTTTGTTCTTGTTTTATTTCTTTCCTAGCAATGGGACCATTCCTAGTGTTGCTGTTCCTGGTTGCTGTGCTGATTCCATCCTGTCTTCCAGATAGCGATGAGGTATGGTCAAGATTGAACAGCTTTTTAGAACAATTCAGGCAATGATGAGCTTCTAGATCAGTCTTCAAATGTGAAAGTTTTGGAATGCCTACAATATCACAAAGTATTCATTAGTAACTGAGGACAGTCAACACAAGTTTAGAACTGTGGTAACAAATATGGTAACCCCCAGACACCACAGTACTGAACATTGAATGTGTGATATATCTGAATCAAGGTGAGTGTAAGTTTAAAACATAGAGCAGATTTCAAATATGTGAAACAAATACCTCATAGCAACTTTGATATTGATAATAATGAAAATGTAATTCTGATATATTTTATGACAATGTTATCAATATTAGTTTTACATATTTTTTCAATGTAATCACCAAAAAATTTAAATTGTTTGAACTATATTTGTATTTAACAACATTGTTGCAGGCTGGTGTTGAAGATCCTTGCCTTAACTCGCCAAAGAATTGGCCAGTGAGGCAGTGAATTGACTCGCGAGACAACGAGGTCAGCACTCAAGTAGGATTTATTAGTGAGGAAGGAAAACCTGCCCTTAGAGGCAGACAGGGAGCCTGGAAAATCCATAGCTCCCTGTTGTTTACATAGAGGGGGTTTTTTATCAGGTCCTTTTTGTTGGGGAGGGGAGGTGCAGGAGTCAGGAGTGGAGTGGTCTCTTAACATATCACTGCAGGAACATATACAGAGTTCTACGAAAGCCTCCTGCTTATCAGCCTTGTGGCTTTTTGAGGCATCCCCTCAAAAAGGGGGCAGTGACTTGTGAAGCCACCTGTCCCTTTACAGGACATGGGGTCCACAGTGCTCTCATGGGGGATGGGGGCACTAGCTCATTTTTGTCTTCTGATCCCCCAGACCCAACAAATTCCCCCTCTGAAGCAAGCACCCAAATGCTGTTAGGGAAAATGGGCAATGTGTTGTCTAGCTGCTTCTTGCTAATAGTGGGGCAAAAGAGGGAAGAGAGGTACAGGGGCTCTCGTCTCAGCGGTTCACCCATGTGGTCTCCAGGGGACTCCAATAGAACTGGATGGAGTGTTCATGTGTAGACAGAGGTGAGTATTCCTTGACTAAGAGCTGGAATTTTATCTTTTGTACCTGTAGAGTTACAAACTTGGAAAGAGCATTTATTATACAAGGCCCAAACAGGAATATTAGAAGGAGCATAAAAACGGGACCAGCTAGAGGTAATACACAGGGAGTCCAGCTCCGTGTTGTTCCAGAAGGACCATGAAATGGCTAATTCCTGTCTCCTTTTTTGTAAAGTGTTCTCTTAATTGTCAGGCCTTGTCTCTGACTACCCCAGATTTATTAGTATAAAAGCAACACTCTTCATCTAGAAGAGGCATGCTCCACACTTTTCAGCAGTTCATAGGTTGAGTGCATGCCTGTTTTGGAGCACTACTGACACAAGTGAATCTCCTTGGTCTTGTATAGCCACTAAGGGTAGTGTAACCCACTCTACATCATCAGAGAATTCTTTTAAGTATGGACTGACGAGTCAATGGCCCCCGATGCCAGCACCTATTCCAGTGGGGATCCCCATGGATCCTAGTAGGGGAATAATTTGAATGGCCCTCTTTGATCAAGTGTAGGCTGCTATAGAGGAATGCGGAGAGATTTATTGTTAGGGATAATATTGATTTGTGGGGTTAGAAGGGCTAGAGTGTAGATTCCTCTCCAATCAGGAGGCAGCCAAGCATAGGCTGTAGTTCCACAAACAAAATAAGTTACAGGAAAGGGCAAACACTGAGGATGAAATGTTAGATCAGTTGTTAGCATTATTTTAACATAAAGCTCTTTAAGAATCTTCCCCAGAAGAAGATTCTCTTCCTAGGAATCTGGGTCCTAGGGACAGGCAAGACAGAGTTGCAGGGATTGTTGCACTGGCAAATTTCACATCCTCTGATAGTATCTTGGAGGGTATCTTTAAGTTTTTTCTCCTCAAATAATTGACTAGCCAACAAGAGAGTCTTATGTATCCCTAAGTGATAAGATTGGTGTAAGGTTTTGAGGAACTTCCATTGGCTACTTTGTGGAAAAAATACATTGTCCTCAGGAATTGTCCACCATCCCCTACAGTCAAGGTGAAACCCCTGCTCAGAGGCCTGTTGGACTTCAGTGGGCGAGTATTGAGGATGATTGGTGGAGAGAAGGGATTGTTCCCATTGAAGGGGGGTTGAACATAAGGTTTTTGGGCAGCCTCTTTTGCTGCCATGTCAGCTCTACTGTTTCCTTTAGTTATTTTGTCACCAGATCATCAGTGCCCAGGGCAATGAATTACTGACACCTGCTTTGGGAGTAGAGCTGCCTCTAGGAAATCTAGGATTGCTTGCGAGAGTTTAATGGGAGATCCTGTTGTAGTTAGTAATCCTTGCTCTTTCCAAAGAGCTGCATGGGCATGGAGAACCAGGAAGGCATATCTGTATAGATATTGATGCTCTTTCCCTAAGATGGTTGTAATGCCTTGGTAAAAGCAATCAACTCGGCCAACTGGGCACTAGTGGAAGGAGGTAGGGGCTCAGCCCATAGGGTCTGAGTGAGAGACACCACAGCTTCCCCCGCCCATCTAATTCCCTCTTGGACGGATGAGCTCCCATCTGTGAAGAAGGTGAGGTCAGGATCTAGAAGTGGCTGATCAAGGAAGTCAGGCCTAGCCAAAAAGCATTCAGCTAGTACTTCCTCACATGAGTGTGTGATTGGGCCCTCCTCTGTGGGGAGAAGGGATTCTGGATTTAAAACTGAACACACTCAGATGCTTATATCTGGACATTCTAAGAGTTGAGCCTGGTATTTGAACAGTCTATTATCTGACAGCCACAGTCCCCCTTTGGAGGTTAGGAGTCCTCCCAGATCATGAGGAGTTTATATGGGCAGGGGCTGGCTAAGAATTAGTTTCTGGGCTTCTGGGATTAAGAGACAGACTGCTGCCAAGGCTCTTTAGCATCCAGGCCATCCCTTGGCCACACTGTCTATTTCCTTACTCAGATGTCCCACTGGCTATGGGGTAGGCCCTTGGAGCTGAGTAAGTACCCCAAGGGCTAAGCCTACCTTTTCATATACATATAGTTGGAAACAGTCCTGAGTAGGGAAGCTCGGGGCTGGGGATAATTGGAGTGCCTATTTGAGAGTTTGGAAAGTCTTTCTACCCTCCGGTCCCATTCAAGATAAGACTGAGAGTTTTGTTGAGCCTCTTTAAGAAGTTGATGTAAGTCTGCATATCCCAGAATCCAAATACGACAGAACCTAGTGATCCCCAAAAAGCCTCATAGCTGGTGCAAGGTCTGGGGCAAGGGATACCCCAAAATTGGCTTAATCCATTCAGAGCTTAAGGAATTGGTTTGCCCTTCCAAGATCATGCCAAGGCAAGTAACCCAAGGAAGGCATACTTGGAATTTTTCTTTCAAGACCCTGTAGACTTGAGAGGCCAAAAATTTAAAAGGTATTCAGCCGCTTGGAAAAAGAGGCTCAGTGGACCCACACAAGAGTAAGTCATCAACATACTGAAGAAGGGTGGTCCCTGGGTGTTGCTAGTCCAATAAGTATTTGATTATGGCTTGCCCAAAAAGGTGGGGGCTGTTTCTGAAGCCCTGAGGCAACACCATCCATGTCAGCTGTTGTGAGGGATTAGTGGGGTCCTCAGAGGCAAACAAGGGCTGGCTATCAGGATGTAAAGGGATGCAGAAGAAGGCATCCTTTAGATCTAGCACAGAGTAGTATTGAGCTTCTGGGGGTACTTGAGTCAATAGAGTATAGGGGTTGGGAACAATTGGATAAAGGGGAATGACAGCCTCATTAACAAGTCAGAGGTCCTGAACAAACCTCCATTTATTTGGCCCCTTACAGACAGCAAGAATATGGCTTGAGCATTCCACTAAAAGTCCCTCTTGTCTTAGGGAGTTAATAATGGACAATATATCCTGTCGCCCTTCAGGCTTTAGGGAATATTGTTTTTGATGGGGGAACTGGAGGGAGTCTTTTAGTTTTGTTTGTACAGTAAGAACAATTTTGGCTCAGCGACAAGAAGAAGATTGCTATGTGCCAAAAGTAAACAGGCTTCCTCCAAGATAGCATAAGGCATACCTGAATTTACCCCATGCTCAGTTTCAGCTTACAAGGAGGGAGCAGAAAAAACCCAGAACCAGAATTGCCATGAAGCCAAAATTGGTTAAGAGCTGTTGGTTTGATACCATGGCAGGAAAGTCCCTCAGGAAGACAGAAACAGAGAGAGAGAGAGAAAGAGAAACAGGGGGAGTGGCAAAGGGAAGTCCGATTTGAGCTAGTCCTCAGCAGGGGGTTACCCCCAGCAGGAGTATCCAGCAGGGTGTTGGAGACTCATGGTTGCATCTTAGGCAAACTCCTGCTGCTTTGGCACTCAACTGTACTGACCTTGTTCCAGGAGAAGTTTGTCCTTTCATGGTCTCCAGAAATGTTGCAGGCTGGGGTTGAAGATCCTTGCCTTTACTAGCCAAAGAATTGGCCAGTGAGGCAGTGAATTGACTCACAAGATGACAAGGTCACCACACAAGTAGGATTTATTGGCAAGGAGGAAAACCTGCCCTTAGAGGTGGACAGGGAGCCCAGAAAATCGGTAGCTCCCTGTTGTTTACATAGAGGGGAATTTTATTTGGTCCTTTTTGTTGGGGAGGGGAGTTAGGAGACAGGGGTGGAATGGCCTTTTGATATATCTTTGTAGAAACACACTCTGTTGGGGAGGGGAGGTGCAGGAGTCAGGAGTGGAGTGGTCTCTTAACATATCTCTGCAGGAACATATACAGAGTTCTACAAAAGCCTCCTGCTTATCAGCCTTGTGGTTTTTGAGGCATCCCCTCAAAAAGAGGGTAGTGCCTTGTGAAGCCACCTGTCCCTTTATAGGATATGGGATCCACAGTGCTCTCATGGGGGATGGGGGCATTGGCTCATTTTTGACTTCTGATCCCCCAGACCCAATAACACAGATATGTGCATTTACAGCTAATGAAATTCCTCCCAGTCTAAGAAAATATTATGATTGTCTTTTATTTAATCCATTTCAATGTGATACCCACAGACAATTAACATTATAGCTATATAATCTGAAATTTGCATTGCTTCTTCACATGCATTGCTGTATCTAATGTTCATAGATATTATGTGAGAAAATTATACCTGTTATTTGAGTTAAAGAATTTACAAAATTCTGGGGATATATCTCAAAGGCAGAGCACTTGCCTAGCATACATAAGACCATGGGTTCCATCCCCACCACTGCAAAAAAATAAACTTACTAAAGCTATTAACAGCATTTTCCATACTCATGCAGTAGGTATATATACATGCTCTGATTTTTGTAATATTCTCCTTTCTTAAGTAATCCTGGAATAGGCTCAGCCAACAACTTCAATGACCGAGTTTGTAGTGTCCATACAAGTAGTATTTGGCTACTGATTAGAAAGCCTCTCAGTGTTAGTTAGACGTATTTGGGGATTGCTGCCTATTCACAACCCTCTTTGGCTATCGGGCATAAGATACTATCCCAGATTTTGTCAGGATACCCATAAACTGAGATGGTCCCAACATTCTTTTTCTAGATCCCAGACACCATGTCAACTAAACATGCCTCCTAAAGTCTGTAATAAATTATGTCTCCTACCTTAATGCTTCTTTGCTGTGTCCTAACTGAGAGTGTATTAATAGTTCCTATTAGGTACCTCTGTCAGTATAAGATGCTGTCACTCATATATCTAGAAAAATCACATTAAGACCTCTTTTAAAATCAAAATTGACATTTGTGGCCTCAAGGAGTTTGTGATCTGAATTGCCATTTAATTACAACCCTATTGTCAAATCTCGAGTTTACAAATTTTCTGTTTAGAAGTTGTAGCTTTGAGCCAGGTGCCAGTGACTCACGCCTATAATAATAACTACTTGGGAGTCTGAGATAGGGAGAATCAGGATTCCAGGACAGCCTGGCACACACACACAAAAAAACCTTTACAAGACCTTATTTCAAAAAAAAAAAGCTGGCTGATTTGCATACATTTGTCATCCCAACTATGGTTGGAAGCTTAAACAGGAGGCTCACTGGTCCGGGATGGCCTAGGCAAAAAGTTAAGACCCTAGATCCAAAAGTAATCACAACCAAAATAGCTTGAGATGTAGTTCAAGTAGTAGAGCTCCTGCGTGTAAGTGCAAAGCCTTGAGTTTAAAACTTAGTATTGCAAAAAAACCAAAGTCATAGCTTTTACTCAGATTAAATAGTAATGAATTACCAAGTAATATTGGCTTAAACACTTCTACTTCTAAAAGCGGATCCCTTTTCCCTGCACTTATTCACTATTATATGTAAACTTCAAACACATGAAAATAACTTTAATTTTATTTCCCTTGAGGATCAAGATGTGGGTTCTCTGTCAACTCACCTACCTGAAATCCAGGAGGAGATCGTAGGGAAACACAATGAACTCAGGAAATCAGTATCTCCAAGTGCCAGCAACATGCTGAAGATGGTAAGAAGCAGCATGGCGAGCAAAGAGGTCTTCAGCCATCTCTCACTGGAGCAGGCACTCTCACTGGCACTTCTGGCTTGTGAACTTTAGCCTCTGTTTTGATATTTCAGTGGAGATGTATTATGGTCCAGGATTATATATGTTGTCCAGTTTAACAGTGATGAAATAACAGCAAACCCTTGGGCATCCAGTGAGAGGCCACCTTTTTTTATTCTGCCCAGTGCCTTCTTTCTCCTAATCTAGGATCATGAGACTCTCTTTAGAGTCAAGGCCATTTGGTGTAAACAGCCACTTAGTGCAGTACCAGTTAGTAGGAAGTAACTTTTCAACCCCATCTCCTGATCCATAGGCCACACATCTCCCAAAATTATTCAGTGAGAGAAAATAAATGGACAGGGAATTAAGAAAGCAGTCCTTACTCTTGGAAAAATAATCTCGATCCTTCCATATATTTAATAATATTTAGAGGAGGACAATTACTACGAATGTGTAGGTATGCCTCCTACACTATCAGAAATAACTACTAACTAATTTAGAATTTTCAGTACCTAGGGTAGACAAGCTATCTATATTTCTTTGACACAGGAAGAACATATTAAACTCTATTTGCTTCTGATGAGAAGTCAAAAGGTGCTGAACAGAAATTCTATAGCAATATAAGTCAACCTATCAACATGACTCTAAAGATTATACATCTCTGAGCCTCCAGTCAATAAGGGGTTATCTTCTTTTCTTTCCATCTTTTAGAGATGGACCAGTGAACCCTATGAGAACACCCAAAAGTGGGCAGAAAATTATGCACACAGTATCTCAGCATTCAGAAGGACAAGTATGTAAATTAATAAGCCTTAGTTGCCATAGGGCCTGTTTTGTTAAGTGAAGGAAAACTGTAAATCCATATTTTGCTCCTTGCTGTGTCTTTCAAGTCAAGTGTCTCTGTGGGCAGAAATTAATAATTTTTAATGAGGTCTCACTGTGTAGATCAAGCTGGCAAGGGTAATTGTTATGTATCTAGGCTGGCTAAATAGCTGGTTATCATCCTACCTCAGCCTCCGGGGTGCTGGAATTACAGGTGTGTACTACTGACTCTTTCTTCATTTTTGATAATGGCAAGTTTTAAACATTCTGCGTGCCTAACTTCCATATTACATTAGGCTAAAAATAACCTATGAAATATGACCTCTCATCAAAGAACATAAAAACAATGGCATAAAATATATAAATGAGATAATATATGTACTGAATTATCAAAAATGATATAAAGTCAGGACCAATTTGAAACCAATAGCTCATCTGCTTTGAAGGTAGGACATCATGGTGGTTTGTATTTTGATGTTATAATGATAATGAAATTATGAAGTCTTATTATTTCCATCCTGAATGGTTCATTTTTCATAGATATGAGCTGTGGAGAGAATGTCTATATGTAAGTCACTTCCCCACGTGGTCAAAGGCAATCCAAAGCTGGTATGATATCCAAAGCTTATATTTGGTTGGAATCCAGAATTAAGTCCTGTAACAGTTCAACATTACACTCAGGTAAGAAAAAGAACAAAATACTTTCTATCCTAAGTGTGCGCAAAGGAATGCTTCTCCAAATTTTGACTTATTTTAAGGTTAAATTTGGGGAAAAATCATTTTTATTTTCTTTTAGAGAAAATGTCTCATTATATAGCTTTAACCCGGGCTGTCTTCAAAATCTTAATCCTCCTGTCACAGCCTTCCAAGTGCAGGGACTACAGGCATGTACTATTCTCAGTCTGGAGATGAGGGAGATCTTGAGTGAATATTGAATAGTTTTGGTATTTGTTTGGGCATCTGGGTTGCCATTTATCAATAACCTATAAGATCCTGGTAAGGAAACATACTCTGTGTTTTTCTTTCATTTTTTATTAGCTTATTATAGTTGCACATGGGTACATTGTGGCATTTACATAAGTGCTTACAATTTATGTTAATTAGATTCACCCCCTCCATCTTTCTCTTTTAGCCCCCCCCCCTTAGAACAATTTCAGCAGGTTTCAATTTTAGATTGTTTCAATAATTTAAATATATCCGTGAAACATTAGGAAACAAAGACCCTCAATAACATCCCTTTTTTAGTTGTGCATTTCCTGCTCTTTATTTCTCGATATTACCTTCTTCTCTAACGTGCTCATGTCTTCACTTACAGGTGTGCAGGTTGTTTGGTATTCATCTTTCCTTACTGGATGTGGAGTGGCCTACTGTCCTGAGAAATCTTCGAAATACTTCATGGTTTGCCGCTATTGTCCTGCGTAAGTGTACGTCGTAGAGTTTACTGTTAATAGAGCCACATACAATTAACATTTTTTTAATCAAAAGAAAAGTTTATTTTATTTTTATTTTTTATTATTCATTTATTCACATGTGCATACATTGTTTGGGTCATTTCTCCCTCCTGCCCCCACCCTCCCCCACCCCTCCTCCCGACTCCCTTCCAGGCAGAACCTGTTCTGCACTTTTCTACAATTCCATTGAAGAGCAGAAATAAGCAATAATAAGAAAGACATAGCATTTTTTCTAGTTGAGATAAGGACAGCTATACAGAGAGATTCCTAGCATTGTTTTCATGGACAAATGTGTTACAACCCAGGTTGATTCATCTCTAACTGATCTTTACACTGGTTCCTGATCCCCTTCTCTGTTGACCTCTGTCTCTTTAAGGTTTCTGTATTAATTCCTCTGGAGTGTGGACATCAAATGCTTTCATGTTTTGGGTTTTCTGTCTAACCCCATACCTCCTGTATGTTCTCTCCCCTTGTCATGTAACCCAAGTCCTACAACATTGCTGTATTTGCCCTACATCTAAAGACTGCATATGAGGGAGAACATACGATTTTTGGTTTTCTGAGTCTGACTAACCTCACTCAGAATGATGTTCATTAACATTTTTAATTATCAAAAAATTAAACAATATATTTTGGGAAAGGAGATGGGGATTACATATTTAGAAATCTTTTCTGTAGTTGAACCAGATCCTCAGAAAGAGCACTTTCTTATTTCCACATATAATTTTCTGAAGCTCTTCTTTTAAGCCTAAAATCATTTGCTTTCCTTCTCAATAGCTATTCCCTGGACTTAGGGCTACCCCTTAGTACATGTAGTGTGCCATTGTTTAGATTTCTAGGGTCAGTTCTTGATAAGTTCACATCATAGAAAGTGAAGATTTGATGTTAGGTAAAGGGTAAAAGTGAGGTAGCAAATGGGGAATGATGCAGTTTGGTGAATCTAGCTGTTTCTCCTCAAATGTCCAGTTCATTCTTATATATAACTGCTACCTGATCCCTTTAAGAAATGATCAAATCTTGGACTTCAAAGGCTTCTAAAAAGATCTTTAATATAGTTCAAATAGTCCAGAAAAGGTAGCATTTTCAGTCTTTGCTTTTCAGAATTTACTGCAAAAATCTCTTAGACATTGTCCACTAAGATCTTGAATTATATTCAGAAACATATTCATTCCTCAAGCAATGTTGTTGAATTCTCACAAAAAAATCTGTGGATAGGATGAACATATATTCACAATTTTAGTTTTATTTTTTAAATGAATGAAAACTTTACCACAGGAGACAGAGACTCTGGTTGCCCTGGTTCAGTATTCAGGTTCCAAGATTATGGTGGAGGTATCAAGTGAATGGGTGATTTAGCCTCTTACTCCATATTGGTATCTGAATACACTTAGGAAATATTCATTTGCTTATTTAACATATTAAAATATTTAATAGATATCTATAACTGTATTTGGTGATGCTAACCTTAGTGTATAAATTAACCTGAGTTTTAATAAAATTGATATCTTTCTTTTCGTATTTCAGTGGTAATTATTTGAGCAGATATTATGTCCCTTATGATGAAGGAGAACCTTGTGCCAGTTGTCCTGATCACTGTGATGATGGATTATGCAGTAAGTTTGAAGTGTTTAAGTTAACTGAAGTAAAAAAACTGATGTCATTAGCTTTTACGAATAAGGACGTATTCTAAATAAACTCAACGTAAAGGATACCTTCATGCAAAAGCCAAAAAAATCACTTAAAGTTCAATTTTGACATTGCTCAGTATTGGTACACTGCTTTCAGTGAAAAGCCTGTATCACATCCAATCCAAAGAAACATCTGCAATCCAAGTTTACGTGTGACACCACTGAGCACACTGCAAGTTGGAATCTATGAAAATGTATCTATGACTATAACTAACTGTTACTAGAGATCAACTTTCTTCTCATTGAGGTAAGTGTGATTATATCAAAGTTTGCATTTTTTTAAAACAGAAACAAGGGCTGGGCATGTGGTTTAAGTGGTGGAGCCCCTGATTCGCACGTGTGAGGCCCACAGTTCAAATCCCAGAGTGCTCAAAAACAAAAGAGACACAGGGAAATCTAAAGATTGAAATGATAGAGTATAGTTCAGCCCATTGACTTACACCAAATATTACAATTCTTCATACACAAATTTGTTCCTCACAGTGCCTTCCTAAGCTCCTCCATAGAGCAGTTAGAATTACCAAATTTAATAGTCTCTCTTAGTTTTTCTGCAAGTAATTTTATGTATATTTTGTATGCCAAAATCAATTCTGTATATAGTTCAGAGAAACTCAAAAAATTCTAGCACAGAGAGAGAAAAGGAGCATTGCACACTGTCTCAGTCCCACTCTTATTGTGATTAGAAGTGCAAAGGGTAAGAATTGGCTGCCTGTCGTGGTGCACACTTGTGATCTCAGCACTTACAAGCCAGAGGCACGAGGTCAGCCTGGGCTACAGTGTGAGACCGTGCCTCAGACAAACAAACAAGCAAAACTACGTAGTTTTGTTGCAATGGGATATGGTGTTGAAAAAATTACAAACAATGCCATTGACTAATTCTCTGAGATTTTTCTTTCAAATGCAGTCAACTGACTGAATTGTATCATTCTTTCTGACTGAATTGTATGCTCATAATTCAGAATATTGATTATATTAAAGCCATAAACTAATGAGAAAACCAAGTGCTGACAACTGCTGAATGAATTTGCTAAGAAATCTGGAAATCTACCTTATTAATAATGAGTAGTGACATGAAAGATTTTAAACAGAAGAGGGAAGATATGAATTGTGTTTTATACAGACCTCTGGAAGAATGGGAATACAGTTCAATGGCTTAGCACCTGTCTAGAAGGTACAAGGTCCAGGGTTTGGGTCACAACACTGCAAGAAAACAACAGAGCTTATAAAAGTAGTATGAAGAAAAAGTGAAGAAAATCCATATAGGAGAAATGGTTTACAAAACAAGTGGCTGTCTTTACTGTATTAGTGCATAAATCATGAGAACAAATAGGTATGAGAGAGAAGAAAATAGAATTATACTTTTTGTTTCCTAGGTTTGTTGAGTGGTGATAAAAAACAAAGAAGAGGAGGCCAAGTATTGTATATGTACCTGTTGTCCTAGCTTCTTGAGAGGATGAAGCATGAGTTCAAGACCAGCCTGGACACCATCCACAAAACTTCAAACAAAATTTAGAGATAAACGTGTTCCATTGATTTCTGCATGTTGTTTTTCATTATTCGGTAATTGGGACTGCCGTTTTTTTCTAAGAGTGGGTAAACTGAATAGAGGAAAATTAGGATTGTCTGTCAAGGAAATGTCAAGTTTGTAGTTAGGATAATGAATTCAGGATGAGAATTTTTTACTTTGTGGTCACTAAGGGATATGCAAGTAAAAAATGTCCACAAATCATAGTGACTCTCTCCACTTTTTACAGTTCTACAGCTGTCTTCCTGTGAGAAAAAGAGGTGGCAGTAGAGTCTAGAAAAACCATGTGCAATATAATTTTCTGTAATGACAGAAATGCTCAGGGTTTTCACTGTCTTATTAAGTAGCCCCTAGATTCATTGGCTGTGGGTCACATAGGTGTAACTGGTGGTGGTGAGCATTTAAATTTTAATATGATAGCCTGATGGTGTGGCTCAGATGGTAGACACCTTTTTAGTAAGTGCTAAGGTCCTGAATTCAAACCACAGTACTACTGTATTCAGAACACAGTACTGCCAAAAAAAGAAAAAGAAGAGAAAGAAGCAAATAATAAAATTTTAATTTTAACTGTTTAATCTTAAACAAGCATATGACTAGTGGCTACCATTTTAGAGATGCAGTTCTAAAAGTTATCAAGTCATGAAATAGATACAATGTAGCAACCTGTTTGCTCAATCCCCTTCCTCCCATCCAAGTTGAATTTATTTTTGTGTCCCTGCTATGGAGGAAAGTGGTAATAAACTGATTAATTTGTTTCTTTTCTTTCAGCCAATAGTTGTGATTATGAAGATTCACATGCTATCTTTCATGTGTTGGCAGAACAAGGGTATTGGGGTAATGTAATCATCCATCCCAGATGCAAGCCCAGCTGCAATTGTTCACACAAATTTATGAAACACCCAATGTGCTTGAGCAGGGTTCTGTGGAGTAGGGCCCCATCATCTTCTAGATTTCACATGCACTATTGGGCAAACCATGGGCATGTTATCTACAAATTTGATTCAAAGCTATAAAGAATCTTATTCTTCTGAATCTGCTTCTCATTTTATAGAAATCATTATTGTATAAAGAATTGAAAAATAACAATATCCATGATAATTTCTTTGGATCTTAATATGTGAATTTTGTGATTTAAATTTCACAAATTTAATCAAATAGAGTGGTCTGTAGGTTGTATTTTCCTATGATAAATGTCACCAATACCCTAGATAGAAATTGAGATTTATGTACCCTGAACAAAATGGACTAAAAGAATATCACTGTCACATCAATCCTGGGCTGCTTTTCTAGCTACACGTAGTTAAATATCTCCAAAGTGCATGTACTCTCTTTAGTTCTTCTTCACCCATTCAGGTTTCTTCCGACTCATCTGGATCTCATCCCTATAATGAAGGTGAAAACATTGTTCTAAAAATAATCCTTTCTCTTGCAAATATCAATGAAGAATTTCAATTTTTCAAATTTTCAATCTTTATGAAGCACATATATCTTTAAAAATCATTCGGCATAATATATATATGCACTCTCTCCTCAAGAGGTTAGGATTCAGTTCCCTCCCTTTGCATCTACATGGAAGTTAGGAACTCACTTTCTTAAGCTACATGTGAAATGGGAATAATAGTCACTACATTGAGAAATTGTCAAATTCCATCATAACAAAGTCATCCAGACTGCAATCTCTTTTGAGGACATTTTATCTTTCTTTTTTGAAAAATCCTTGCAGCATAATTTCCTGTTTCTCTGTGACTGCATTGACGGTTTTGTCTCTTTAGGGAAAATGAGCCCTGCTTTAGCAGCACATCAATCTTCTCTTAGGATTTGTTTGAACTGGTGATAATTTGTTTTTAATGATGTAATATTACAATACTTATAATGTATGATTTACTAAATTGTAATAACATTAAAACTCCTGGCATTCAAACATGAGTGTGTCCTATTTGGTGCATAACTCAAATAATAATCAGGAACCAAGGTCTGTGGGAATTAGGCATGCAAAAGTCCTCAAGAATTACTAATATTTGTGAGTGAGCAACTTAGTGATTTAATTTTGGCCATTGTCACATGTGTTCTTTGTACCTCCTAGAATAATAGATTATTAAGAGAATGAATAACATGGAAAACTTTACTCAAAATTTATGCAATAGAACTATGTTATAGAGAAGTACAGATGAATGGATGGGGAGAAATAGAGAATTACATACACTTTAAAATGTGTATGTAAATTGGCTAATTTTTATAGCATACATTTGTATGAATTTCATTTGAAAAACCTAATTCTGTAGCCATAATTAGCAACACCATGAACAACAGGTGTTGGCGAGGATGCGGGGAAAAAGGAACCCTCTTACACTGTTGGTGGGAATGTAAACTAGTACAACCACTCTGGAAAAAAATTTAGAGGCTACTTAAAAAGCTAGACATTGATCTACCATTTGATCCAGCAATCCCACTCCTGGGGATATACCCAAAAGACTGTGACACAGGTTACTCCAGAGGCACCTGCACACCCATGTTTATTGTGGCACTATTCACAATAGCCAAGTTATGGAAACAGCCAAGATGCCCCACCACCGATGAATGGATTAAGAAAATGTGGTATCTATACACAATGAAATTTTATGCAGCCATGAAGAAGAATGAAATGTTATCATTCGCTGGTAAATGGATGGAATTGTAGAACATCATTCTGAGTGTGGTTAGCCTGGCCCAAAAGACCAAAAATCGTATGTTCTCCCCCATATGCGGACATTAGTTCAAGGGCAAACACAACAAGGGGATTGGACTTTGATCACATGATAAAAGCGAGAGCACAAAAGGGAGGGGTGAGGATAGGTAAGACACCTAAAAAATTAGCTAGCATTTGTTGCCCTTAACGCAGAGAAACTAAAGCAGATACCTTAAAAGCAGCTGAGGCCAATAGGAAAAGGGGACCAGGAACTAGAGAAAAGGTTAGATCAAGAAGAATTAACTTAGAAGGTAACACACACGCACAGGAAATTAATGTGAGTCAACTCCCTGTATAGCTATCCTTATCTCAACCAGCAAAAACCCTTGTTCCTTCCTATTATTGCTTATACTCTCTCTTCAACAAAAATAGAGATAAGGGCAGAATAGTTTCTGCTGGGTATTGAGGGGGTGGGGGGAGAGGGAGGGAGCGGAGTGGGTGGTAAGGAAGAGGGTGGGGGCAGGGGGGAGAAATGAACCAAGCCTTGTATGCACATATGAATAATAACACAAGAAAAACAAGAAAAACCTAATTCTGGACTCTTAAAAAGTTACACAGCCCTGCATTGACGTCTCTATTACAATGTAAGAACTTTTTTTGCTAGTACCAACAAGGACGTTTATCAATTCATGAACAACTAAACCACACTCTGAAGGTGATATTGGTTTATTTTCCATTCATAAAAATGATTAGTGATCCATGTAACTGCAGACTATTGCTCATTCCAGCACTATGACACTGCCTAAGTAAGTATAATGGAATGTATATTCTGACTTCCCTGTCAACAGAAAGGGGAAAAATGTTAAACTGTAATTTTGCAGTCTTCCACAGTAAATAGTAATAGGTTATCCCCATAATGTATCAGTTTTCAAGGGGTATTTAAATCATAATGATTAGCACACATTAATTATACAAATTAATTGCATTTACTGTGATACAACCACATGTGCATATATCCTACAATCATGTCACCTACCCTTCTTCTTCCACCACCATCACTTAACACTAGCACACCTCCCAGCCAGTCAGTCCCTAGACCATTTTTCTACTTCCAGTTCTTTTTTGGGTCCATACTGGTGTAGAACTCAGAGCCTTGGACTTGCTAGGCACCTGAGCTATGCCCCAGCACCCATTTTTGGGATAAGGTCTAGCTCACCTTGTCCAGGTTGGCCTTTGAAGCCATGATTATCCTGTCTCCATCTCCCAAGTAGCTGGAATTACAGGTTTTCACCACCATACCTAGCTTCTCTGTCTGGCTTATTTGAGTAAAATGATGGCCTCTAGTTCTATCCATTTTCCTACAAATGACAAAATTTCATTCTTTGTTCATGGCTGAAAATACTCCATTGTGTGTACCATATTTGCTTTATGCAATTATCTGTTAATAGGCACCTAGACTGATTCCTTACCTTGGCTTTTGTAACCCTGCTATAATAAAAATGTGTATGTAGGTATCTCTTATGTATGATGACTTCATTTCCTTTGGGTATATTCACAGGAATGGGATAATTGGATCATATGATAGCTTTTCCTTTAATTGTTTCAGGAACTTCCTTGCTGTGTTCAATTGGAGCTATACTAATTTCCATTCCCACCAACAGTGTATAAAGATAACTTTTTGTCCACATCCTCACCAGCATCCCAACCCAGGCCAGACCAAATTTCATTGCAATTCTGTTTTTCATTTCCCTGATGGCAAACACTATAGAGCATCTGTTCATATATTTATTGGTCATTTGTATTTCTTCTTTTGAAAAGTATTGTTCATTCAAATAACTTTCCCATTTTTAATTGGGTTATTGGAGTTTTTTGTTAAGTTGTTTTCAGTTCTTTAATTGGTTAAGCTTTTTTTTTTAGTTCTTTATATTCTCTGGATATTAGTTCTCTGTCAGATGAATAGCTGGATAGGAATTTCCCTTATCCCATAGGTAGTCTCTTTGTTCTGTTGATTGTTTCCTTTACTATGCAGAAACTTTTGATTTTGATGTCATCCATTTGTCAGTTCTTCCTTTTGTTTCCTGTGTTTTTGGAGTCCTGTACAGATGTAGTGCCTGTACCAGTATGAGGTGTTTGCCCTATGTTTTCCTCTAGTAGTTTTGAAGTTTCAGTCTCACATTCATTTTAAATAGATTTTTATAGGATGAGAAAAGGAGTCAAACTTCAGTCTTTTGCATGTCCATAGCTAGTTTTCCAGCATGATTTCTTTTTAAAATTCTTTTATTCATATATGCATGCAATGTTTGGGTCATTTTCCCCCTTCCCCTCACTCTCTCCCTCTCCCCCCATGCCCCTTCACTTCCAGGCAGAAACTGTTTTGCCTTTATCTCTAATTTTGTTGAAGAGCGAGTATAAACATTAATAAGGAGGACCAAGGATTTTGCTAGTTGAGATTAGAATAGAGAGATTCCTCACATTCCTTTCATGTACATATGTGTTACATTCTAAGTTGATTCTTCTCAAACTGAACTTTTCTCTAGTTCCTGATCCCCTTCTCCTAATGGCCTCTGTCACTTTGAAGTTTCTGCATTAGTTCCTTTTCTAGCATGATTTCTTGAAGATGCTGTTATTTTTCAGTGTATGTCTTTGGCACCCTTGTCAAGAATCCACTCATTGGAGATCTGTGGATTTTATTTCTGTGTCCTCTATTCTTTTTCATTTGTCTGCTTCTCTGTTTTTATGCCAATAAAACCCTGTTTTGGTTATTCTAGCTCTGTAATATGCCTTGAAATCAGTATAGTGACACCTCCAGCTTTGCTCTTTTTCATCAAAATTGCTTACACATAATTTTCACTTACATATAATTTGCATTCAGTTATTATTGAAATATATAAGCTTAATCTTGTCATTTTGTTAATTTTCTTCTAGTGTGTTTTTAATATTCATCTTTTTTGGTTTGCAGATGTACTATATTGATAATGTTTGATCCCTTTCTATTTCTGTACCTACTATATACAAAAACATATATATATATATATATTCTATATATAATTTTCGACTGAAATTTTTTATTTCACATTCTTTAGTGATGACATTTGTCTTTCTTGCACTTCTGTGGGTAGCTTTCCCTTGAACATCTGTTACAGGGCTAGTGTAGTGTTCACAAATACCCATTGTCTATGTTTATCTTTGAAGGTCTTTATTTCTTCTTTGATTCAGAAGGATAGCCTTGCTGTGCACAGTAATCATGGTTGGGCAATAGTGTCTTTCAGCCCTTGAAATACATTATTATTCATGCTCTTCTGGCCTACAAGGTTTATTCTGAGGAATCTGATAGTGATTTAATGGTTTTACCTTTAAATGTGACTCAGTGCTTCATTCTTTCAAGTTTTATCATTCTTTCTTTGTCCTGACTTATGACAAGTTCACTACACTATATCTTGCAGAAGATATAGATATATAGATATATCTAGTCTTCTCTGTCTTAGTTTCTACATGCCTTCTGTACTTGGATATCTATGAACTCACCAAGATCTTGGAGATTTTCTGATATTATTTCATTAAATTGGTTTCCATGGGCCTTAATATTTACTTGTACTCATTTTAGTATGCTGATAATGTGGACATTTAATTCTTAATAGTGACCCAGAGACCTTGAATGTTCCATTCATTTTTCTTTTTTACTTCATTTGTACCTGAATATAATATTTTGGAATATCTATCTGAAATCTCTGATAGTCTTTCTTTTATTTTATTTAGTCTATTAAGGGCTCTACTGAATGTTTATCTGAATTTTTCAATGTTTAGTTTCTGAGCTTTTTATGTATTCTTTTTCAAGATATCTGTAATTTTGCTGAATTTTTTTCCTTCGTATCCTGTATCATTTTCATTTTTTCATTTAACTGTCTATGTGTATGTCTTGGATATGATTGAACTTTTAAAATACCATTCTTTTGAATGCTGAATACTTTGTCAGGCATTTAATGCACTTCAATATTTTTGTAATCAACTAATAGGAACTTTAGTTGGTGTCATATAATCTTTTTCATATTCATTGTGTTTCTATACTGAGATTCGCACATTTGTTCAGATGGATACTACTGATTTTATGAGATAGCCTTCTTAATGAATCCCTTTGTTTCCTCATGGCCTGATGATGTGTCCTTGGATATTGATTTCTTCTGTAATATTGACTTTATTTCCACCTGGACATCATAGATTAATTTCCTTGTAGCTTTTTTCACTTGGTATTAGTGAGTTTGGGCACAGTGCATTCCCTATCAGAGTCAGAGATTCTCCACTGCTTCTGTAACATTGCAAGAATGGGAACACTAGAAATTTTGGCATGTGTGGGATTGAGAGCATAGTATGTGTAGTGCGCTCTGTGTTTTCTGTGGAACAGGAGAGATGGCCCCTATCAGGTGATGAGGGTTTCCACAGACACTGTTGCTATTGGCTCTGTTACTTGAAAAAGCTTTCTGATACCAGTTGCTCCAATCAGGATGTAGCACTTGTTCTTTGATTAAAAACTAGTACAGATCATGGAGTTTCTTGGGGAGAGATAGCAGACAGAATCACAGTTCCCTCTCTGTGCCATTCACATCCCTCTTGTCAGCAATGCATAATCTGACAAGGTACAGATGCAAAAGATACAGAGGACCTGCACAGGTGCAGTGTAAGCACAGCTGTGTTATTCTTTTTGCTGCTACTGTGGTTATGGAATGGGACCTCAAACCCACCCCCCAGGTTTGCCCACCTGGGGACAAGACAGGGTACAGCTGCAAATTTTCTCACAGAACTTTTTTAGTTGGAATATCCACCAGGACTTGAGTGCATACAAGATATGTCTGAAGCTAGGCAAAAAGTCACTCATTTGGGATAGGGGTTTTGTTGAGCTGCAGAAGATATACCCAAGACACACTAGGTCCTAGGCTCAATCCCTAGCACCACACATACACAAAATAAAATAATAATTACAGCAATATAAGGAGAAGCATGCCCACACACACAAAAGAAAAAGAAACAGAAAGAAAATAACAACAGAAAAATAAAGAGAAAAAATAAGAACAGAAAGACAACAATAAGAGATAAAAGAGAAAAAAATCCCTTTCAACTGAGTGCTTAAAGGAATGGATGAGAAGTTTTGGTGAGTGAAATATCTCTTGATATTTGTAGACTTGTTCACCAGAGACAGGGAATTGATTAGATCCCCTTACCAGTTATTGAGTGTTTGCAAGTCATGCCTGAAGACTGTTAAAATTTCCCTACACACACTGACTGCATACACTTTGCTTCTGTGAAAATAACTAGAGAAAAATGGTCCCAGCTGGTGTCCAGAGTCCCCACCACTGCTGCCAGCTGTGCAGTGGCAACCGCAACCCACTGCCACTTCCCCAAAAAGAGATGAGAGAGAAATGAATGTGCAGGCATGTGTGCACAGGAGGAGGAGCTGTGAACTGCAGGAGTGGACCCAGTGAGTGAGGACTGACACGGGATTCTGCACCACACATGTGCCCTAACCCCATGCCCCTGCAAGGGGAAGAGGGGAAGCAATTGTATGCACAAGGATGCTGGCCCATCCCACTGGGCTCCCCAGGCAGAGAAGCACTGCCTGCCATATCTAAAACAATCAATGGGAAGGGCCCAGATTGTGTACAGTCACAGCTGCTGCTGGCCACACACAGCAACAAACTGTGACACCCCCCACCATGCCCCAAAAAAGGGATGAGGGGGAAAACAAGCAAACACACATACATGCATGTGGGAAGATGAGCAGTGGGCCTCAGAGTTGGGCCTGGGTGAAGGGAGTTGATCGTTCTTGGTGTGGGGTAGAGCAGTGATGCATTGTTCAGTCACAGCAGTCACCCAGCCCCGTGCCCAACCCCACTTCTTGACCTAGTCTGACTGACCCAGTCCTTAGAGACAATTGTTATCCCAAAATAACTTTCCCCAAGAAGTGCTAATGTAATCTTCTGGGAACAGCCAAAAAAAAAAAGGGCATTTCCATGGTCTCAGGACCTCACATTTAAAACTTCCTACACTTTCAGCCTCAACATAAAAAAATTTCCTCCAAATATTGACACTAGTCATCCCTTTGTGGCACTGTGATTGACCTGGGACTCCCTCTGAGTACCCTTCTCTAACTCTACAGGCATTTCTCCAGGTGATTCATCCCTTTGATAAGAGGTAGCCTTCCATTTGACTACCTGCTTTTGGTGATATAAGGCTAAAAGGCAGGATCCTAGAGGTTTCACTGAGTTGGTAGGGTGGCTTAGTCTGACCAGTCACTACATTTTCTTTGGTCATGGCCACTGACAGCAGACAGAAATCGTGGGACAGGGACACCTGCTCTCATCAGGTCAATCCCCAGTTGGGACACTGATGAGAGGGGAGTCTGACAAGTTTTTCTAGATGGGACCTGCCCCCTCCAGTCTTGTAGCCTCAGTACCCAAGCGGTCTCTGGTCTACTGAAAAGTTGGAAGGAATTTCACCCTAATAATCTCAAAAAAAAAAAAAAAAACCCACATCTTTCTTGGTACTGAGGCCTGGCCCCAATATCTCCTGGGTGTCCAACAGAAGTGGCCTTCAGAGGGCTCCTTACATTATAATACCACATTCCATTAGACCTTTTCTATAAAAGGTAAGAAAGTGGACGAGGTCCCCTATATACAGGACCACCAAGAATGGCTCCATAATTGCTATCTAGATACTCAAACACTGGATTTTCTTTGTAAGCCACAGGATACACATGGTGAAGGAGGACCAGGAAGGCCACCTTCCTTCAGGAAGTGACAAGACCCCCATCCCTACTGGCCCCTCTACTGCTCCACCCTCTGCCCCACCTTCTGAGACATCCCAATATTCAGGACTTCCTAATGGATGTTTCCCCTTCGATAGGCAGTGGCAGGAAGAGGGCGAGCCTATGTCCCCTTCCAGTTATCATATCTAAGGTAGATTAAAAAGGATCTGGGTAATTTTACTGACATCCCAGACCAGTATATCCAAGCCTTTATTTCTGTGATCCAAAACTTTATATTAGCATAAAAGGATATCATGCTTCTCCTAGACCAGACTCTTTCCTCATTAGAAAAGCAATGGGTCCTGGTCCAGGTCACTCAGGTTGGAGACAATTTTCATCTACAATAAGCACCAGTACCTATGGCACCTAGAAATGAAGAAATGAATATGTCCATTCCCATGGGGGCACAGGCAGTCCCCTTGGCAGATCCACATTGGGATCAAAATGATGAGTGGGCTAAAAGACATCAATGCCACTTCATCAATCTTATAGTGGAAGGGCTAAAAAGGGCCAAAGTTAAGCCTCTAAACTATTCCCAGGTGACTGTAGTACAACAAGGCCCTTATAAAAACTCCCTTACCTTTCTACAGCATCTTAAGGACGCTATCTGAAAACATATCACAGTGGATCCAGAGTCACAGGTGGGAGAGGTTCTCCTCAAAGATAATTTCTAACTTGGTCAGCTCCAGATATATGTAGAAAACTCCAAAAGTCTGTGGCTGAAGGGGAAAAATCATTGGACCAACTAATGCAACTAGCCATGTTTGTGTACTATAACTGGGACTTCACTAAAAGGAGAGAAAAGAACAAAAAATCATGACCTAATCACAGCTCTCAGGGAGTGCCCCACCTGACGGGGGCCTACATCCTGAGCTTGCTACCATTGTGGACAGGATGGGCACTTCCACAGGGAATGCCCAAAATGGGAACATCCCAGGAAGACAGCCCCAGCTCCCATTGTGACCTTGGCCCCTCGAAAAGGTAAACTCTGGAGGTCTAAGTGCCCCTGTCTCCAGGTGGAAGGTGGAGTGCAACCTCCTATGGATTGATGGGTCCCGGGCCTCTTTTCCAGGTTCCACTTCTTGACATCAACATTGAGGAGACTCAGGTAACCATAATAATAGAGAGGCAAAAGGTCATCTTCCTGCTAGACAATACATCCCATTTCTCCATCTTACCATTCTCTCCTCGTCCCTGGTCAAATAACAATGTTATCATTCAAGGCATATCCAGCCAGCCCCTAGAGCGCTATTTTACTCAGCATATGACCTGCTTTTGGGAAGACCTCCACTTCTGTCATTCTTTTATCATAGTCCCTGAGACTCCAGTGCCCCTGCTGGGATGGGATTTCCTATCTCAACTAAAGGCTCAAATTCTATTCCCCCAGGGGAATATTTCTTTTGCCTCCTTCTTCAGGAACAAGTAGATCCCACAGTGTGGACTGATGAAATGACTGTAGGATGAATAAAAACAGCCCTCATGATTCAAATAAAGCTAACAGACACCTTCAGTTCCCCCATCAAAAGCAATATCCTCTAAAGACTGAAGAGTTAGCAGGTATATTGCCCATTATTAAGTACCTAAAACAATAGGAACTTTTAGTGGAATGCTCAAGCCCCTATAACACTCCTTTTCTTACTGGCCAAAAAGTGCCAGATAAATAAAAATTTTCTCAAGAGCTCCATCTCACTAATAAAGCAGTCATCCTCCTCCACTCAATTGTTCACAATCCCTATACTCTATTGGCTCAAATACCCTCAAAAGCCCAATATTATTCTATATTAGACTTAAAGGACTCTTTCTTTTACATTCTTCTACGTCCTGACAGGCATCCTCTGTTTGCCTTTGAAGATCCCACTAACCCCTCACAACAGCTAGCTAGCCAATTCATGGTCCTTCTGGAACAACATATGGAGTGGGCTACCTGTGGCTGGCCCCTTTTTATGCTCTTTCTAATATTCCTATTTGGGCCTTGTATAATAAATGCTGTTTTCAGATTCATACCTCAACAAGTCCAAAGAATCAAATTCTAGCTTTTAGACAAGGAATACTCACCTCTCCCTACTCATGAGCCCTCTGTCCAGTTCTATTGGGGGACTCTAGAGACTACATGTGTCAATCCCAGAGACAAGTGCCACCACCTACCCCCATCACCCCACTGCCACCAAGAAGCACCTAGACAAGTCATTGCCCCTCTTCCCAAAAGCAGGTGGGTACTTGTCTCAGAGCAGGGACTTTCTGGGTCTGGGAACTTGACAGATGTGTGAGTATCCCATCTCCTGTGGAGAGCACTATGATCCCTGCACCCTGAGGAGGAGATATATTGCCTCATAAATCTGTCTCAGGGCTAATAAACAATGCCTTTCAGGTTGTTTCCCCATAAGGGGCAAACAGACCAGCTCATTGAAGAGAACACATGGCACAAATCCAGGCCAATGGAAAGAGCCCACCTAACCCTTTCCCTAACCCAGAGTTATAACATCCATAAAAACCCCAGCCTTCACCTGAGCAGAGAGCCACTGGTTTCCAGGCTCTGCCAAACTGCTCTGGGTGCAGCCTTTTCTTTTTCTAATAAATCCTACTTTGTGTGCTGACCTTGTTGTCTCACAAGTCAATCTGCTGCCTCACAAGCCAATTCTTTGGCCTGTGGTGGCAAGAGCTCTGGACACTGGCACACAACATTGGCAGCTATTTACATTCAGCAATACTTGAATTTCCTTAGCAAATGTGCCTAAGAAAATGATGGGCTCAAGCTTAACTCTGCACTGCTTCCTTCTATTTTGACCACTCCAGAAATATAGCTCATGGTTATAATATTTAACACTCCCACCAACAAAGTGAGAGTTGTGTTTCATCCACAATCTTGCCAATGTTTGAGTATTATTATAATACTTTTCAATTTCAGCCTTCCTAATGAGTATGTGTTTTTATCTCACTCTGGTTTTAATGTTCTGCCTCATGACATAATCAAGTTTCATGATTTTCTCATGTGCTACCTTATATTTGCTTTTATTTTATCTTTTTTTATTTTGGTGGTGCTAGAGATTGAACTTCTTATAGCTCCTTTATCAAATGTTTGCACAATGTTTTGCTCTTTTAAAATACCAGACTTAAAATATAGACTTAAATGTAACAGTCAGTGTTCTCTGTGGGAGTAGATCCAGGAGAATGTCCATATAATTATAAAGGTTGTTTATTAGATTGGGTTACATGATCACAAGCTAGATAGTGACACATTTGCATATAGGAGAGAAGACTGAAAACCAGTAACTGCTCAGTCCTGAAAACTGGAAGCCACAGAACAATAAGGACTAATGATTCTGCCTCAGGCTAAGTCCGAAAGCCCCCATGAAAGTCACTGGTAAGAGTTCATATGCAAAGGCTTAAGAAGCTACAATTCAAAATCCATGTGAAATGACTGCAGAAAAAAAATAAAAAGAGAAACAGGAAAAGAAAACCTTCACTCACTCGAGAAGAATGAACTTGCATGCACAAACGAACTTCTCCCTTCTTAAGCTTTTTGCTTCACCTGAAGCCCCAGCCTATGGGGTGATGCTGCCCACATTCAGAGAGGGTTTTCTACACTCAGTGCTGATCCACATGCTACTCACCTAAGAAATCCATCACAGACACGTGCAGAAATGTGCTTTACCAGTTTTCTAGGTGTATCAATTCACTCCAGTTGACAACTAAGATTCTCTGAAGTTGTTTACAACCTAAGATACATACTCCAGGTATCTCTGTATCACCATATTAATGTGTAGTAAAACCCTACTCCTGTGCATGAATTATCTATTGTTTTCTTAATGGTATCTCTTGAATAAAAATATTATTTCTAATGAAGTCAATTTGCTTATTTTTGTTTGGTGAATATTACTTCCTATGGCCTACCTAAAAGTATAATTTTCTGCTGTCACATCACAAGGATATCCCACGTTTTCATTTAAATATTTTGTTCATTTCTCTCTTCAACATAAATACACATTAGATCTTAATGTTCCTTAACAAAATTCAACATTTTTTCATACATAAATATCCAGCTATCCCAGCATCATCTGTTGAAAATAATTATCTTTCCCTACTGAGTTATTTGGCCATCAGGTGGTCATACAAGTGGTTCTCTCCATGGTTATTTAGTCTAGCCCACTGGTCTTCATGTTGGTCCTCAAACACTATCATAATGTATAGACTACTGTAGTTTAAAATACTTAATCAGTAGTGTAAGACTGCCAATGTTTTTTATTTTTTTAATGATTACTGACTATTCTAGGACCTTTGTGTTTCCATATAATTTTTAGAACTAGCTTATCAGTTTTTATATAAAGAACATTTATGGTCTTACATTTGATCTTGTCTTGAATCTATAGGTCATTATGAATTGGTAGAAAAATTTGGAAAGATCTGGTACCATGACAACATTGAATCTTCCAGTCAATGGGCATGATAAATATCTCTAGTCTTGTAGATATTCATTATATTTTTCAGCTTATTGTTTCAAGGGTCTTGTACATCTTTAAGTAAATTTACTAATAAATATCTAATGGTTTGTGATGCTATTACAAATAGAATTGATTTTTAATTTTTTATTTTAGAATATTTTTAGAATCTTATATAGAGTATAGTTTCCATATGTTCTTCCAATATCACCTGATATCAATATCTTACATAGCCCCATAATGTGATTCAAAACTAATAACATAACATTGGCGCATTTCTATTAAAGTCCGAATTTTATTTTTGATTTCATCAGCTTTCCTACTAATGTCCATTTTGCAGTTTTAGAATTCTAATCCACCATGCAATATTTCATTTAGTCATTTCTAAGTCTCTTCTTGACTATGGAAGTTTCCCAGTAGTTTCTGGATTTTCAAAGTCTTGACAGTTTTAAAGACTGATCATGTGTTTTGGAGAAAGTCACCAGGTTTGGATTGTCTGATGCTTTGTTATGAGTAGGTTGGGGTTATTGATAAAGGAAGAACATCACAGAGGCAAGATGCATTGCTCATTTCATTCAAAATATTCACATGACTTACCACTGGTGATGTTGACTTGATCATTTGGTTATGGTGATGTCTGCCAAGTTTCTGCATTGTCAATGTTACTCTTATTCCTCTTTTCATACCCTGTCCTTTGGATGTAAGTCACAAAGTCCCATTCATGTTCAAGCAGTGAATTAATTAAGTTACACCTGCAAAGTGGGACAGAATTTACACATAATTTTGTGTTGGACTTCCTTTGGTTAGCAATATGCACTTAAGATTTTCAGATAGCACTGGGGCATGGCTCAAGTGTAGAGAACTTGCTTATCAAGAGAAAGGCCCTGACTTCAATCTCCAGTACTGCAAATTTTTTTAAAATGGAAAAAAAATTTCACCAACTTTTTTGTATACAAAGTGATTTATTCTTTCTTATTTCACATTGTAAAGAATGTAAAAATTTACATTCATATTGTAAAGATTTATTACAGTTAATACATTCACCAGTTGAAAGGTATCTAAATTTTATAATTATTCATATATACAGAGAATTTTAAAGAAATATAGGTTTTTGATGTACTTGGATGAATACTTAGGAATATATCGATGACTCAGATACTAGCACTACATTTATAAACTGCCAAATTTATCTGAAAGCATTTTGTCACATTTCATTCTGAATGCCAATGAATGAGTTCCCATGTTTATGAATCTTTGACAGTGATTTTCATAATCAGATTTGTGTGTTGTAGACCATTTATAATAAGAATGGTGTTATATCATCATCAAAAATATTTAGCAGTGGAATTGCTGGGTTTTATGGTAATTTATGGTTATTATTTTGGAGAAATGTCAAATTGTTTCCTAAAGTGGCTGCATTGTTTTATATTCTTACTAGCCATGTATAAGGATTTTTAATTTGTCCACAAGATTGTTGACACTTGTATTTTACTTCCTTTTTATCTTTTGGCTATACTTTTGACAGTGGCAGTGGGGGTTGCAATCAGAAGATATACAAATACTCTGTGTCCCACTGAGAGGAATCCATGGCAGGACACCTGGTTGTAAATGGAGCTTATTAAAAGTTAGGGAAGAAATACAAAAGGGACCATGGTGGACCCATGTGGATTCTGGATGCAGAGAGATTGTGCTTCCCTTCTCCAAGTGCTTTGAAAATGTATGCTGACCTATTAGAGGGGGGCAACAAAGTGGTTCCCATCCAATAGTCAATGAGTGGGGAGGGGCATGGATGGTTTCCTGGGTTAGGTGAGGGAAGTCCCTGTGTCAGAGAATGATCAATTTGAAATGCAATATTTTTCTGCGTCCTGAGCTTTCCCTAACTCTAGCCTACCCCAAATTCCACCTGAGAGAAACAATCCTGAAAAAATCTTTTTGAGGTTGCTGAGGGGCTGGGGTTCTTTTCTTTTAAATCTGCTTTGAGTTGACAAGGGACAGCAGACCCTACATATAAGGGGAAACTGTCTCTCCTATTTCTTTCCTTGGGCCTCATTTGGATACAAGGTGTCTGAATTTTTGTACAGCACAGTCAAGGTTTCTCATGGAAATGTAGGTTGTTTATGGAGATCTCATTCGACTATTGCATCATGATGTGGGTCCTAAAGGATTTTATCCTGGAAGAGATAAAGCAGGTTTAGAAAGCATGATCCAAACATTAACAATGTTAACAATGATAGGAGCATCAGAAGAGGCCCTGCCAGGTATAGCAGGAAGGATAAAGATTTGAACTTTTCATTTTGAAAAGTGACAGAGAATCTTACAGCTAATTTTTGTACAGGTGTCTATACTTGTAGTTATTTTTGACCGCGGATGGCCCTGTGTTTGGAACTGCTGCTATATCAATGGGCAGATGCCAGTCCAATTAGAGGGTAAACATCAACAGTAGTCATTTCCATACAGAAAGAAGACTCACAGTGTCCCAAGCAGAAGTTAAATACCATTGAAAGTTAAATTGTTTTTGCAATTAACCAAAGGCCTTGGCCAAATACATGAGTTTGCCTTTTGCCAGAAGCCTAGAAGGTTTAAATAGTAGACACATACATATGAAGCCCCTTTTAAAATTTCTCAGCTAAGGGCAAAATAGTTTCTGCTGGGTATTGAGGGGGGGAGCGGGAGGGGGTGGAGTGGGTGGTAAGGGAGGGGGTGGGGGCAGGGGGGAGAAATAAACCAAGCCTTGTATGCACATATGAATAATAAAAGAAAAATGAAAAAAAAATAAAATAAAATAAAATAAAATTTCTCAGCTTTGGTTACTTTTAGAGGTCTGGCATAATTGACTCCATCTAATCTGGAAAAGTCCCCTCATTTGTATTGTCCTTTTGAACTGTCTTGGGTGGCCGAATGCCTCTTGTCTCCCTAAGAATTTGGTGAACACTTGAGGGTTCACATCCTGTTGAACAGTGTCTTTGAACAGTTGCCTCTGAAGATTTTGCCAGTTTGGAAGTTTGGTTCTCTGAGCCAGGAGTAGCATCTCCCAGAAAGTCATAGCTTCTTCCAGAAAGTCAGATTTGTCCCACAAACAGATCAGAAGTCAGCATTAATTTGACCTTTCTAACAAAATTAAGCAACAAAGAAATTTATTAAAAAGTAACTCTTAGGTGGGCTTAATTAAATCTAATTGTCTGTCCCATAGTGAATGTACTGACAACTTAAATTGTAAAGTGGCAACAGAGAACAGTTATAAAGTTCTTAGAAGGAAAATTAAAAGTAACCCCAATACTTAAGAATGTCCTGGTTGACAGATAAGCACTTGTCAGAGTTATTTTTCATGGACTTGTCTACAAGTTTCCAAGTAGGATTCAAGCTGTAAGAAGAAAACAAAAGTAAAAATGGTTAAAGTTTAGTAATTAACATAACTCTAATTACTTTAAAATTATGTAGCATTACTAAACCTCTCTTATTACAATTGGGAACATATGCACTAACTTGTAAAAGAAGATAAGATGCCAGGTTGGTACAGTGCATTTTTATTACTCTATTTTAGAAGGTTTATGAACTTGAAGATCACAAAGACACCTAACATATAAAGGAGCCAATAGTAGCATCACAGTTTTAATCCTGAATTTTGGTTAGGGAAAGTAACAAGCCAGTGGTTGTCAGTAATGTATTGACAGTATTGACAAGTAAAAACCCTAAATTTTCTAATGCTTTAGGGAAAGGTGGTGTCAATTCAAATAGACATTGTTTTATGCTTAATTGCATATAATATACATAAAAAAGTTTATCTAGCCAATGTCAAATAAACAAATGTTTATGTGACAAACAGATGTCTGGCATAAATGGCAGAACTTTCAGCATTTGTCATATATAGCAGAAATGTTAAAGACCTTATTAGATAGAATGCACCTTAGATAAAAGAACTATATCTGTTTACAAGTATATAAATACTTAACTCTATAAATACTTTTATAACATTTAGATACACTTATAAGGCACTAGCCATGCCACTTAGAACCATTTAAAATAATTCTTACATAGTTTAAACATAGCTTCCTCAGTGTTAGCAGAAAAATGCCTCAGGGTTTTTGCATCTGGCAAGTCCTTCTGGGGAAAAGATTAAAGCTGAACCTGATAAAATAGAGGCCTTCAAAGCATCGCTCTCCAAGCTAGGGGACGTCTATGTCAACGATGCTTTTGGCACTGCACACCGAGCTCACAGTTCATGGTGGGAGTGAATCTGCCCCAGAAGGCATCTGGATTCCTCATGAAGAAGGAGCTGGATTACTTTGCCAAAGCTTTGGAAAAGCCAGAGAGACCCTTTCTGGCTATACTTGGTGGAGCCAAAGTGGCAGACAAGATCCAACTCATCAAAAATTTGCTGGACAAGGTCAATCACATGATTATTGGTGGTAGAATGGCTTACACTTTCCTTAAGGTGCTGAAGAACATGGAGATTGGTGCTTCACTGTTTGATGAAGAGGAAGCTAAGATCGTCCAAGAGATCATGGCCAAAAAGGCAGAGAAGAATGGTGTAAAGATCACCTTTCCTGTTGACTTTGTCACTGCTGACAAGTTTGAAGAGAATGCTAAAGTTAGACAAGCCACTGTAGAGTCTGGCGTCCCTGCTGGCTGGATGGCATTGGACTGTGGTCCAGAGAGCATTAAAAACCACGCTCAAGTGGTGTCCCAGGCAAAGCTAATTGTGTGGAATGGACCTTTAGGGGTGTTTGAATGGGATGCCTTTGCAAAGGGAACCAAAGCCCTCATGGATGAAATTGTGAAAGCCACTTCCCAGGGCTGTGTCACCACTATAGGCAGTGGGGACACTGCTACCTGCTGTGCCAAGTGGAACACTGAAGATAAAGTAAGTCATGCACCTAAAAAACCAGATAGCATTTGTTGCCCTCAATGCAGAGAAACTAAAGCAGATACTTTAAAGCAACAGAGGCCAATAGGAAAAGGGGACCAGGAACTAGAGAAAAGGTTAGATCAAGAAGAATTAATTTTGAAGGTAACACACATGCACAGAAAATTAATGCGAGTCAACTCCCTGTATAGCTATCCTTATCTCAACTAGCAAAAACCCTTGGTCCTTCCTATTATTGCTTGTACTCTCTCTTCAACAAAATTAGAGATAAGGGCAAAATAGTTTCTGCTGGGTATCGAGGGGGTGGGGGAGAGAGGAAGGGGGCAGGGTGTGTGGTAAGGGAGAGGGTAGGGGCAGGGGGGAGAAATGACCCAAGCATTGTATGCACATATGAATAATAAATAAATAAATAATAAAGTGAGTCATGTGAGCACCAGAGGAGGTGCCAGCCTTGAGCTTCTGGAAGGGAAAATCCTTCCTGGAGTACAGCCCCTCAGCAACCTGTAGTTGACAGAATGTTCCTCCCTGGTTATTTTCTGTCCACAGCCCTTAGTCCAACTTAGTGCCTTACATTTCAACTTAACCTTGGTTAAAATCCCCAAGACCAAGCAAGCAGTGGGACATGAGGAGTTACTAACATCAGCACAGCAATTCAACTTGTACTAGTTCTGTCATGCATCTCGTTTGAACTTGAATTTTCTGCTTCATGGGGAAGGCACATTCTAAAGAAACATTAAAAAAGTGAGCTGAACAAGCTATATCTGTGTGCTTTCTTAGTCCACTATTTTTCTTCTGTATCAACCAGAGAAATGAAGCAGAGCCTAACCAAATGGGGAAGGATAGTTTGATATAATACTGAAAAATAAATATACAAATAAATGGGAAAATCATCTTATGTAAGAGATCATAGGCATCATTAGAGCTCTGGTAAGGGAAAATTTCTTAGAAAATAATAAAAAGGAGAAACAAAATTACATATTAAATCCTAGAAGTTGGAAAAATATAAATTAAAATGCAAAAGAAGCATTTATGTCTGTGCACATGTGGATACATAAAAGAGCAAAAATACAAATCTGTTGAACAGGGAGCTACAAATTAACTCAGTTTGAAAGAAATAAATATTTTCATTCATATATTGTTTAATAATAGATAATAATCTTACAAATCCTAAAACTGGGTTTTGAAATAGATCAAATATGCATAGGACTATGTTTTAGGACTGGAAATCTAGAGCTATAACAATTCTTCCATTCCCAAAATAGAAAAATAACAATAAATATAAAAAAACCAAGCAGATGTATTGGAGAATAGTCTATAGTTCTGTAGACAAAGAGCTGATGTCAGGCAGTCCTATTAGCTAGTTAATAAAAATGTACACTCACTTTCCACTTGTAATGTCACATGTTTAATTAACTTATTTTTATATATTCAACTTTGTGATTAATGGAGCTTCAAATACCCACCTTAATATACCAGAAACTTCAATGTTTTGTATAGAATATTAATAATGCCTTGGGAATCTAATCAAAGAAGTAGCAGTTAACATATAAGCATTAAAAAAAAGAGAGAGAAAAACAAACTTTCAGTAGTTGAAACAAGATAAAGGCACAGTGCTGCCTCACATAAACGCTCAGGCAAAGATGCTGGCTCTTATGCATGAGATCAAGGAGGAAGCCAAACCAGTGAGAACACCTGCTGCTCTCAATAAATGGATTCAACCCATGTCTGTCAGAGATTTTGCTCCTGGATTGCCAGCTGGAACTGGCAAACTAATAAGAGACATCTGTTTTCTTTAAATGCATGACCCACAAAGTTCAACAGTTGGTTTCCCTTGTTCTATTGGCTGTTAGTTGTTAGATAAGGCTGATTTTGCAAGGAAGGCCTCATGATGTATTCTCTCCAGCTGGATACCTTGTACCCAGTAAAAATCAACAGACTCTACTACTGAAAGGCAGGAGGAGGGGGAATAAACCCTGAAGAAAATGTAAAGTTTCTGACAGACTCATTCAGGTCTTGTAAGTATTCACATATCCTTCCTGCATATGGAAAACAAAGGTAGGCAGGGGTAGCAAAGCAACATCTATCATCTGATCTTTCCCTATGGTTTTCTCATGTGTTTTCCTGAAAAGTCTTCATGGGAGGACTTTTAGAAAAGCCACGAGTGAAGGTCTTTCTCCTGTTTGTGTATTCAGGCAGCTAGCTTTTAAACTCTGAGGGAATTGATTTTCCTAGTATGTTAGCCAGTTGTGGGTTGCCACCCATAGAAAGTTGTGTCACCTATATTTCTGATTTCAGTTGTTCATGTTTTCCTGGCTGTAGTCATTTTGAGTTGCGGAAATTTGCAAAATTCAGCAAGTAACTACCAAAACACTAGACTACTTTGCCTCTTTCTAAGCACTTCCCTTTCTGGTTTAGTTCCCTCATTAATGTGTTCTGCTGACTATAATACCTCAGGCAAAAATTTTACCAAATGTCACAGTAGAGAAATGAATGGTCACAACCTTCTAGCGTTCTTTACTTACTTTCTTTCTCCTGATCGTTAAGTGAATGTCATATTCTATAGGAAGAAAAGCACAGAAAAAATAATTGGGGGAGAGAAAGGAAAATGAGACAAGAGCAGGCTAAGCAGATTGATATTTGGACAGAATGGAAGAAGGTGACAGGTAACAAAGGATTGAAGTATAAAATGGAGAGAAAAATGAACAGAGTTAAAAATAAAGATAACAAAATAAAAGTAATAAAAATAAAAATAATAAAATAGGGATAAATCAGTTCACTGAAAGCTCTGAACTTTTTTCCTCTGACTTCAAATACAGGTGCAGGAGCATTTGACAGGGGCTTTCTCAGTGTCTCTGTCCCTTCTCGCCATTGGTATGCTTGGCTGTGTGGTGATGGATATTGCCCCGTCTTATCAGACAGGTTTGTTGGAGTTGGTTCGTGGTGTTTAAGCCCTGTCTTTCCTTGGTGTGATGGGCCATCTGGTGAGGGCGGGATCTCTGAAGTGGCCCCACAAAGAGGCTGGTTTGTGAGCAGTCGCTGGTCCCTTCTGCTGACAAGGCAAGTTGCAATTGAGCTCCATGGCAACTCACTTTTAAGGTGCACTACCAGTTTCTTCAAGGTGGTCAAATATGTCTGATTTCACCAGGTGGCAGCTGTGTCGTTCCACTACAACTTTTCTCTGGCAGTAAATGCCCTCCCCCAACAAGCTAAGGCAGTTTAGCATTGTGTACCACCCCCACTCCTGCAAGTTAAGCTCAGCATTCCTCCCCGCCCCTGCCAGGCATAGGTGAATTATGCTCTCTCCATCTATGGGGACCAGATTTTTTTGGGGGGTTTGGGAGGTTGTGCAATCTGCCCTCCAGGGCGGGTGATATCTGGCACTCACCTGGTGGGGTATAAATTTACTCCAGCGAAGTTGGATCAGGACTGGCAGGGTGCAGGTAGGCTGTGTCTGTGTGGTATGGGTCCAGGACTCTGAAGAATCTACCTTGGATTTTCCCCCAGTCCTCTACTTTAAAAAAAAAAAAAAAAAGGTGGGGGAAGATGGCAGCTTTCCCCTGGGCAGAGCAGTGACTGTGTCAGTCTCAGTTTTTGCCTGGACTTCACTGGCTGTTACCTGTAATTAACAAGTGTTTTAAGATTCAGTTGTTGAACTTTATGTACACCATCTGTGTTAATGACAATTTAGTTGGCCAAAATAAATCAGAATTACCCAAATCTTGCTACCACAACTCTGAAGTACTTTTCTGATATTGTAGAGCTCGGAGTTTTGACATCCCTCAGCTATCTTCCATCTTGGCCCTCCCCCTGTTATTGTAATATCAACAAAAGTTATAGCACACAGAAATCATATTCCATTCATAAAATATAACTGGAATTACCAAGGTAATTCTTTCAGCCCTAAGTAAGTTGGAGAATGATTTCCTTAGTAAAATATAATTTAGAGTATATGTCAAAATCCCACTCATTACCTCTTATTTTAACTTACTGATATAATTATGGCTAAGTGAATTATGCAAATATATTTGACATTCACTTTTATTCATTGCTGTGGATATAGAAATCCTACTAATTTTAGGGATATACTTACCAAATTCTGAGATAGATTATTAAAAGTGTTATTGTAGATTGGTTATTTATTTAATAACTGCAGCTAATTTTCTTGTCTTTTTAGCTGGTAAGTTATACTATTCAGAGACTACTACCTAAATCAAGCATATTTATGACACCTTAATGTATATATTACAAGATCAGCCACCACAGTGCTTAATATACTGTTTGTTATTCTTGATATACTTACCTTCAACTTTCTATATTACTTGCTATAAAATGAGGCAACTATCTTAAAGAAAACTTAAGCTTTCTCTCTTTCCACATTTAGTGTGTCTGTATCTTTCAACTATGTAGCATATGTATTTCACAAGGTCCTTCCCTATTTAGCTATCTGTATCAAATATGTTCTTATCAAAACTGTGATATGGTTCCAGGTTTTTCAGCACTAAGAACATGAGACATTCAATGCCAAAATAAAATGCCATGTGCCATGTAAACTGGGATGGTTTATCATCTAAGGAGGCAAACTCAAAGACTTCATTCAAAAAAGTTTACCGAAGGGACTATTTATGTATAGATAGGGTTAAGGATTAAGAAGAATAACTGGAAAGCCCTGGACCTGAAGTAGTAAGGAGCAGAATCTGTAATCTGAGGCAAGTAGAAGCTACAGTATGATAGAGAGGCTACTGGATAAGCAGCACAGAGACACTGCCCAATCCTGGCTCAGGGCAGCTTGTCAAGTTAAATGTAGCACCTCTGTTCTCCATATGCAGATACCCTGGTGGAGCAAGTGCCAAAATATAGAGCTATCCTTCATTTGATCATTCAAAAGGTAAATTATCTGAATGTGTCCAAATTTTCAGTGTTCCATTTCATGGAAATTATAAGGTGAGAATACATGCCCACTCTACTTCCATAAAACTCTTGTACTTGTTAGTTTAATCTCCTTGCCACTTAAGTTGATTATTTAGCTAATGATAATATTAGTCCTCCAAAAAGATTTCAAAACAAGCAGTGGAAAACTGAGTTTATTATTTTGCATTCATCATTTAAGAAGAAAGATAGTACAATTAACGTCTAAATTTTAGATCTCATATTCTCATTTAAAAAGCATAGTCGTGATCCAGCATACTATGTTTTGAAAATGAGGGGCATACATATCTTCAATTTCTTATCTATCTCGTATGGATGTGTGTGTGTTTAAAGACTGTTTAAATGATCAGAAAGTCATTAGTTTTCTACAGCTTTCTTAGGCTGTGTGCATGTTTTTGGGTTCCTGCATAACAAACTACAATGTATGTAAAATATCCCAAACCTAACATAAAAAACAAACAGCCAAGTTCTAGATGTTAGGGTACAAATGTTAGGGTACCTTTGAGGCTTGCAGCCCACTCAGCCTGAAACCGGCCATGGCTAACATGACCCAAGCCACCACTTACTGGAACTAAGGGAGG